TAACTTGACAGAAACCTCTGCTAAGAAAAATATGACTGGGATAAAGGGTGATTTTCATCCAAATTTCTTGCTTATCTCTTAACACTCCATAATTTGTTGTAATGCCCCCTATGGAAAACTATGTGGAATAGAAACAATTAAAATAACCCTTTCATTTAGTGACTATTTATTGAGCACCTATTATATGCTAGACACTGGGTTAGATCATGGGAAACAATGAGAAGAGAGGGAAACAGTGGTCCAATCACATGAGAGATAGCTTTTAATCACAGAATCACAGAATCAGAAGACAGGAATGTAAAATGACAACACTGCTTAGCTCATAAAGCCCTCTGCTGCATTCTACAAAGTCTAAGGTTTTAGTAATATTTTTGTACAATTTCTCCCTCAAAAAAGTGTTGCAACTCTTCAAATTAGTTCAGTGAGAAATCAACTTGCTATGCAAATGCCTGGGCTAGCTGGTGTGTGAGTAGCGTGTCTGTGTTTGAGAACACTGAACCTTGAAAGAACATCTGTTTGGCTATTTTGTTAAATGAAACTCAAGTCACCCAGGCTTTACTAATAGCTTCATTGTGCTTCATGACTTTCCACCACATAAACAAAATTACCTAACACCTCAGTCTGTGGCTAAAACTGTCATTTATCGGTTAAAGCCCACTGACAAAGAGCAAACTGGAGAGAGTGCAATTCCAGCTTCTCTAGTCAAACAGTTTTCACATTTCAATAATCACTCTCTAGCTGGCTCCCGGCTAGATAAGGACCTCCAGGGAAAGGCTGCTTCCTGTGAATGTTTATTTTACAGGGACAGACTGATGGCCTCAAAGTCTGGCCACTTTCTAGGTGATGAAATCGTTTATTCACGTTGGCTCTTCCCAGGAGAGAACATAGTTGAGAGAAAGGCAGTGATTGCTGAAGTTGATTTTATGATAGCGTGTCTACAGATTCCTCAAGCAATGTTGTGAAATTCCAAAGCAAATTCTTAAAATTAAATTCATTTTGAAAAATCTAAAGCTCCTACCCTATGTTGCATTTCTGAGGACTAAAGAATCTTAGTCAAAGGAACTTCAGAGATTGTCTAGTCCAATGAGTCCAAATGGTTTTTTTTTTTTTTTTTTTACCTTGGTACATATTCTTGAAAGTAAACTTCCCACCAGTTTCCATCTGTAAATACATAAAATAAAGCTGCCTTGATAGAAACAGGTGTGAGGGAGCCAGAGCTCCACATTTCCCCAACCCCAAGGGCGAATGGGGTTCCTGAGGTACCTCTTAGGCATCTTTGGGTTTTCGAAGAGAATGGGTCTTGTACAACTTCCTCCTTTCACCCAATCCTAAAGCCGGGGCCCCTGTGCATCCTGACAGGTTGGCTTTTCTTGGGTAATCTCAAACAGTCACAGGCTGCTGCAATTCTAGGGAGGTTTGGAATGGCAACTTAGGGAAACTATAATTGATGACATCTTTGTCCGTTGTCAATCATTTAATAACTATCTGATACAAACTCTTGCAACCACAAAACTAGAATGGAGGGAACCAAAATTTTGTGTGTGTGTGTGTGTGTGTGTGTGTGTGATGGAGGTGAAGGGCATTGGAGTGGTAGCAGGAATCCCAGACATGAAATCCCATAAAGGGGCATACACAAATGGTGACCTGAGGTTTCAGGGACCTGGACGTGGAAGAGGGAAGTGCCCAGAGTCTCCTGAAAGGGACCACATCTCCAGTAGAGCACTTGGCAGGTGAGCAGAGAAGGAGAAAGATCGGCAGTTGTCTGAAGTCAGGTACCAAGTTTTAGACCCCAGTTTTCCCATCTGTGTAGACACTTGCTCCCTCCAGAGGAGGCTAATCTGTAAATGCCATCACCAACATCTACACAGCCCACCACCACTGACTCACACACAGCTCATTCAGGCCTCATAACAACCCTTAGAAGTGTAGGTTAACATTAGCACCATTTTGTAGAAAAGGAAACTGGGAGTTAGAGAGGTTAAGTGGCTTGTGCAAGCTCAGATTGCCTGAAGAGGCAGAAACCAACACTGCTATCTCCACTATCCCACCGAGGCACGACACAAGTGCAAAAGGAGACACAGTAGACGAGAGAGGTCAACAACATTTTCTGAGGAAGCATTATTTTAAATTATGGTGTGAGACAGCCATGATTTCTGAGCAGGTGGGTGAGGTGCACTCTGTGAGATAGGGTGAGGTGACGGGGCAGGAGGAGTGCCAACCAGCTCGCCTCTCCCAGGGAAGGTTTTGCGACCCACAGGCAGCATAGCAGAGGGGCCACGAGCAGGGACACCGGATCAGACTGCCACGGTTTTATCTTGGCCCTGCCATCAACTGCCCCCACAATCTTGAGTAAGCTGTGTGACCACTCTGTGCCTCAGTTTCCATAACTGAAATAAGTATGAGGCTAATAGTACCTACTTCACAGTCTTATTGTAAGAGTTACAGAAATCAGTATTAGTGAAGCTCTTAGTGTCCAGTATATAGTAAATGCCACACCAGGATTGTTGAAGACATTCTTAGCAGGCGGTGAACTCCTGCTACAGGTGCTCACAGATAAGCAATAGCAACTTTTTGAAACTTGAAAACGAGGTTACGATATCCTAGCTTCCTGTTTTCCTGAAATTTGTGACCAGCATCCCTGGCCTCATGACTTTATGAACTTCACTTTATTGCCCGTTCTTTCCTCACTCTTTCCTAACCTTCGCGTGATCATCCTTACTGAATGGCCAAGCCCCCGATTCCCAGCTTATCTTCCTTCATGTATTTCGTGACTAGTCAACAGTTACTGCCGCACATAAGATACGGTTCAATCCATGGCTTGTTTTAAATGTACCTAGGAGTCATACTAAAATCCTACCAACAGGTGGCGCTCAAAGAATAGCTTAAAATAAAATTAACCCGATACGGCAAACCTGAAAAAAAAGGCAAGAAATAAAATCATCCTGATATGACTGTATGATTTTGCTATTCATCAGAAAATAAGAGGAAATAAATTGAAGGCAATGTAACTAGACAGTGTTAACAAGACAGTGGTTGGTTTTTCTACAGTGGAAGATGATTTACTTAGATTTCTGTCTCTAGGGAAATTCAAGGGAAGATTTTCATTTTACATTCATAAAGATCACAATATACTACAAGAGTTGAGCTATTTGGATTTATTCGATTTGCTTTACTTAAGAAAAGTTCAGGATAATGATGCTTAGTCTGTTCAGATTCATAAATAATACTCAGGGATGTCAAGTTGAGTGAAATGTTGCAACTCTGGCCAGAATTCCAAGGAGATGTGTGAAATGAGCTTTCATTTAAAGTGTGCCAATGTTTAACTAGGAAGTTTAGAAAACCTTTATGGGTTTCTATAAGCCGGGAAGAATGTCTCCCACTCATTTGTTTTACTAGAAGCTCCTTAAACCCAAAATCTCTGCTCTTGTGATTTCTTTGACTGCAGAGACCTGCTTAGGGAGCTCTGCCCTGAACAGCAATTCTACCCTGGAAGACTGAGCTTGTCTTCACTGAGGCTATGATGTTTGGCAAATGATCTTTAAGACACAATTAAGGGAATGAAGAATTCTTGGAGGGCAAAATGGTAGGGCATTAAATCTTTTGTGACGGATCTTTATGGTTTTGTGGGGTGTGATAAATTGGATATCATTGGATACTGGATTTATAAAGTGCTTTTCCTCCAAACAATTCAAAGATCTTTTTCACAGGAGCTGTGATTATAAAACCAAGAGCTTGGATCCATATGAACCACCTCAGAAATAAACCTCACTGCTTCAAAATCGCATCACGTAGGTGGTTTTACACCTGCAGCACCTCTGAGCAGGGCTGTTGAGCATGACTATCCTGATCTCTTAGAGGAAAAAAAATGCACTATTTCTTCATCAGATCATTTGCCAGACATCACATTTTCAGGCCCTGGCAGAGCAGGTACTCAAACCCAGGTTTTCTAGTTCCAAATATATAGGTCATTGACTTATGCCTTAGTTTCGAGGTCAACTCAATAGATGTTCTCCAAGGTCATGTTCCGTTCATGATTTGACCACTCTATCGTCAACTAACTCAAATGTGAGTACTCAGACTGCATCAGTTTGTTCTTTCATTCAATTTGTCTAGTGAAATGCAAACATTAGAGAGCGAGGTAATTGGTATCTCAAAATAATAGGGTTGTCTTTTGCCCCACATATCGTAATTTTTCAGCCTGACTTCACATATGTGAGAAAATGAGTGAACGAAAATGACGAATGACAAGGATATTTCTTAATAATGGACTGACTAAAGAAACTATGGCATATCTGTAAAATGTAATGTAACGTAAGCAATTTAAATCATGTTCTCCAAGAGTATTTAAAATTATGGAAAACTGTTCTCCAGGCTGGGCACGGTGGCTTACGCCTACAATCCCAGCACTTTGGGAGGCTAAGGTGGGTGGATCACTTGAGCCAAGGGGTTCAAGACCAGCCTGGGAAACATGGTGGGACTCTGTCTCTACAAAAAAATACAAAAACTAGCCAGGTATGGTGGCACACGCCTATAGTCCCAGCAACTCGCAAGGCTGAGGTAGGAGGTTCACTTGAGCCTGAGAGGCAGAGGCTGCAGTGAACCAAGATCTCACCACTGCACTCCAGCCTGGGCAACAAGTAAGACCCTTCTCAAAAAAAAAAAAAAAAAAAAAAAGATACTTTGCTATGTGAAAAAAAGCAGGCTATGAAGCAATGAGTATCATATATTTTTAAAGTAATATGTACATAAATAAAAGACTAGAATGATGTATACTCAGATGTTAATAGTTATTTTCTTTGGAGGGTGTTATTATATGTTATTTTTATTTTCTCTTTTTAAAAAACTTCCTCATATTGTCTGCAATTATCAAGCTTTACATCTATAATCAGAAAAACATGAATTTGATTTTATATGAAGTCAAGCAGTTTAAAAGCTTTGTAAAAATAAGATATTATAAGATCTATTCCCAGAAAAATTCTGTAGGAGAAAACATTTCCTACCTCATTTCCTTTACCTCCAGCACTGGACTTCATTTCCTTTGGTTGCTTTGTAAAAGAAAACAACAATATTTAGATGAAAAAGCATTATCAGCTACATATTAAGTTGGTCGTACCTGTTGCAGTCATTTTCTTGGCCACAGTTTTGACTTCTAGAACAGCAACATATTTTCAAACTCATTGAAACCTGACACAACTGCCCAGATTTGACAGAGAGGAGCTTCCTGTCTCACCCCATGGGATGCCACTTTAGAAACTTGAGTTGGCATATCACTAAGACTTTAGCTTTCAGCCAACATTTTGAAAAAATGAAATCATGCTGGGAACTTGCAGAATCCATACAGCACTCCTTTGCACCTGGAAAGCATCATTTTAGCTAAGCTGTAGGTGATGATTCCCAATCCCTGAGAAACCAAGTCTAACGGAGAAGACTAGAAAAATGAACTATAGGGCAGTGTGTACCATATAGCATAGTAAGCTATTAGATGACATTACAGGGGAAGAAGACTTACTGACACAAAATAAATGTGCATTGATAGAGATTACTGAATGAAAAAAAGAGGCAGAAAACAAATTATGTAGTATGTATTATTTGATCCCACTTTAAAAATACATACATATAAATATTTTAGAAAAAAGAATGAAATTGTAAAAATGAAGATGTTAATAGCATTGCAAGGTGGTGGAGTTATAGGTGACAATTTTTAAAATTTTGATTTTGTTTTTTTTTTCTTTTGAGAGGGAGTCTCTCACTGTCATCCAGGCTGGAGTGCAGTGGTGCAATCTCGGCTCACTGCAAGCTCTGCCTCCCGGGTTCATGCCATTCTCCTGCCTCAGTCTCCCAAGTAGCTGGGACTACAGGCGCCCGCCACCATGCCCGGCTAATTTTTTGTATTTTTAGTAGAGATGGGGTTTCACCGTGTTAGCCAGGATGGTTTCAGTCTCCTGACCTCGTGATCCGCCCACCTCAGCCTCCCAAAGTGCTGGGATCACAGGCGTAAGTCACCGCGCCAGGCCAATTTTCTGTATTTTTAGTAGAGACGGGGTTTCACTGTGTTAGCCAGGATGGTCTCAATCTCCTGACCTTGTGATCCACCTGCCTCGGTGTGAGCCAAAGCGCCCGGCCAATTTTTATTTTCTATATTTATTTTTGTATTAAAAAGCAATTAAAGTTACTATGCATAAGATAACCAATGTGAAAATTCTTTGCAAGAGCAAAAGAGCATCGTAAAAACTGAGGTTTTGTTATTTTATATATTGTACCTGCTGAAATAAAGACCTGATTTTTGGTGTGTTCCTTGTCCTTCCTTTTCCATGTGACTTTTTTGGGAGACAGACGTTTCTAAGTTAAGGGCTCTTCCTATTTTACTTATTACTAAACCTGGCCCCTTGTTGAAAGTTCCTGGAGGGTAGGACTTGAGCCTAACAAAAAAGAGTGCTAGTTACAAGGGTGTCTATAATACATTATTCTTTATTACATTTTATTTACTTGGCGGTTCACACAGGAAGGATTCAATTTAAAAAAAAACATACTCCTTTACTGACACAAAATAAATGTGCATTGATAGAGAAAAACAGAAATCAGAATAAATTTCTGTATGCAGATATCTTTCTGTTAACCTACATTTTATCTTTGAGAAAGTAGACTTTTTGAGGCATATTCGGTAGTGCCCAGACATTCAGTGAGGCAATTGCTAAATGTTAATAAGCAGAAGGAGGAACATGGTTTCTGGCGAGAAAAATAGGTCTTTGGGGATCTAAGAACTATGCAAAGAATTAGAAAGAAGGCAGAAAGATAACTCTAGGTCAAGAGGAAGTGGTAAAAGCAAGAAGCAACAGGATGAGGCTGGGTCAGAGCTTTCTAGACATGCCAAGGTGAACTGTGTACAGCTGCTATACCCAGGAACATCCTATTTCCCCAAGCTAGCCTCCTAAAATGAAAGCGCTTTTAGCCAGACGTGGTCATTAGAGATGTAAAAATGAAACCAGGAATGCCTATCCATTATTGCATGTATGTGTGTGTGCCTTTGTACTTTTGTATTTGTATATCATAATTGTACACATTTTTGTGGTACACATGATATTTTGATACATGTATACAGTGTGTAATGATCAAATCAGGGTAATTGGGATATCTATAACCTAATTTATCTTTTCTTTGTGGTAGGACCATTACAATTCTTCTCTTCCTGCTATTTGAAAATATACAATAAATTATTGTTCCCTTCTATATTATTATTATTATTTTTTGAGACTGAGTCTTGCTTTGTCATACAGGCTGGAATGCAGTGGCGCAATCTCAGCTTATTGCAAACTCCACCTCCTGGGTTCAAGTGATTCTCCTGCCTCAGCCTCCTGAGTAGCTGGGATTACAGGCGGTTGCCACCACGCTGGGCTAATATTTGTATTTTTAGTAGAGACGGGGTTTCACCATGTTGGCCATGCTGGTCTCAAACTCCTGACCACAGGTGATCCGCCCGCCTCAGCCTCCCACAGTGCTGGGATTACAGGGGCGTGAGCCACCGTGCCCAGCCCCTTCTACACTATTGAAAATCATAATTTATTCCTTCTAACTGTATCTTTGTATCCATTAACCATCTTTCTCTTATTCTTCCGCCCTGCTTCCTTTCCTAGCCTCTGGTAACCACCATCCAACTGTCTGCCTCCAAGAGATCTACTTTTTTAGTTCCCACGTGACTGAGAATATGCAATATTTATCTTTCCGTGCCTGACTTATTTCATAATGACCTCCAGTTCCATCCATGTTGCTGCATATGACACAATTTCATTCTTTCAATGGCTGAGTAATATTCCACTGTATAACACCTCTCTATTTTAAGACAGATTATCTCTGTCCTTATCAGCAAAATCTACTGACCAACTACTATGTATACTTAGGTACTCTGTCTTCATTGTTTAGAACTCAGACCTTCTAAGTTAAGGTTCGGTGCTCTTTCTACCATTTTAATTCTTCACTGATGGCATGTTTTATTTCTCAATATGGTTCCTAATTTCTTTTCTTTTCTTTTATTCTATCTTATTTATTGTATTCAAGACAGAGTCTTGCTCTTCCCCTAGCTGGAGTGCAGTGTACAACCTTGGCTCCACTCAACCTCAGCCCCTGGTTTCAACGATCTCCTGCCTCACTCCCTGAGTAGCTGGGATTACAGGCGTGAGCCACCGCACCGTGTCTCTACGATACTTTAAGGTAGGATAATAT